TTTCTTGATAGATTTAATAAAATTTTGTCGACATTCTTCAGCTGTTTGTTTTATTTTAATAATTGAATCATTTTCCCATTGATCAATTTGTTTTATTAATGAATGTTCTTCTAGATTTTGTTTATGTTGAACAAATTTTTCTTGAAATAAATTTCGATCATTTTCAATTTCATCCATTTTTTCAACAAGCTTTTGATGATGTTCGTTATGTGTCATTATTATGTATAAAATCACTTGAGAGAAGGATAAAATATTATCAATAATTGAAGTTATGCAAAAAAAACTCAGATGCGTCGCAATATATGTAATAACAAAAATGAATAATCGATGAAATTGAGTAAGAATGTTTTTCTTTCTCTTAAAAGTTAAAAACATACACCTATCGCTTATCTATTAAATATCGTCACATTACTGAAAAGTCAAGAGAGAAAGTGCAGGTTCGATGTTGACGGTATCTCTGTATTCATCACCTAATTGTGTAGTATTATTTTAGAATTGCAGTGTTTTGCTGGTCTCTTGCAAGCGGTAAAATAAAGTTTCGTAACGTTTAGCAGAGGCTTAAAAAATCATGTATTACAATTTTTTCTTCCTCTCATTCGGTGATCACTAGAGACGTTTATGACGAATTATACAGAACGGAAAAGAAAAAAAGAAGAGTAATTGCACAACATGAAGCCTGAATCAACATAAAATAGAAATGTATAATGCATAGTAACTGGTCGAGCCGCTCTCTTGGGCTTTAACCCATTCAACTCTTTCCTCATGAGCCATAAGCATAAGGACGCGGAATTTCGGTTTCGCTGGCTCAAGAGAAAACCGATACTCGATCATAGTTTTTTTTCGAACTAATACTAAGAGAAGTCACTGTTCAAAATACTTACTAATTTTTTTGGTTAAAAACCAAGCGAGAAAAGGTTAATTCCTTTGATTATCTTTTATCTTTTTTATTCAACATACCAATTTTTATACTAAATTTTACCTGTAAGACTTTATAGCCGATTTTCAAATAGTAAAACTCATGCCATAGGTCCATATAGTATTTGTGAGAATATTATCACATTTTTGACATTTACTCTCTTTTGTTTTCTATTTCGTAGAGTTAAATATGCTATCACAAATTCTATTTCGTTCACAAATATATATATTTATGTTACAGACAAAAATGATACTTAATTTGAGATAAATTCATATAGCTACGTGTTTTACGAAGAGTAAAGTGGAATGAAAAAAAAGCAAAGAAAACTGTAATCGTAGCGACTATGTCGATCAGCAATTTGAATATAAATGCACACATTACAAACTAACAAAATAAAATGGATGAATCGGAGTGCACGACTATCCAGATAGATAGTGATGAATTCGAAGAACACATTGTAGAAAATATGACTTTTGAATAGACATTTTAATTCTAAGTATTATGTTTATTATTATTAAACCAATCAAAAATAAATTCTGAATAATTCGAATCAAGTGGTATAATCCGATTTTGTTGATTCTTTTCTTGTTTTGTAAATGTTGCTTGAATACTTGCTGCAATCATTAAACTAATTGTAATATCAAATTTTTCTGGTATTGCTGGATTTAAAATTCCTAAAAATGTAATCGGCATTCCACCATTAACAACAGTTAAAGATTTATTATTTTCAATTGTAAATGTTATATTTTGATGTATATTTTTATCATCTAATCGATTTATTTCTGTATTCGATAGATTTATTTTAATATCATTATTTAATAATGCATATTGAATCATTTCATTAAATGGAAATTCAATAGCTGCAGATGATACACTTATTAAATAAGAATTATTACGTACTAAAGATAAACATGATATTGGAAATGAACAACGACCAGCACAACCAATTATATAATTAAACTGATCTTTACTAGTCCATTGATCAAATAATTGAAATCCATCATTTTCTGCTAATTTTTGTTTATCTAAATCTATATCTGATATTTTAACCGAATCTTTTGCAAACATTCCTAAATCTCCTTTATGTGTTAAAGCATAAGCAATTGCTTGTCCAATTGATCCATAACCAAGTAATAAACATTTATCTAGTTTCGATGGTTTAGGAATTTTTAAATTCTTCGGAGCATCATAAAATAGATAGGATAACATATTTAATGATGCTTCAGCAATAAGTGAAGGTTCTAAGATTTTTTTTGGTTGACTTGAAGCAACATCAATCATTGACATTCCAAGTTTTCTTAATGCACTTGAAATATTTATTTGATCTTGATATTTAAATAAACCACGTGATGTTTGTTCAACAAGACGAATTTCAATTGATTTAAAATATGACAGAATTAATTTAATATCAGATTTAGAAATTGTTAATGATAATGGAACATTGCTAATCAATTCATCTAAATTTAATTTATCTCCATCAATATCAAATAAAATTGATAATGATTCAGAAAAACAACCTCCATCATCTAATACAAGTAGATTATTTTCTTTATTTCGTTTTTTTAATAATTCCATTTGAACCATTTTATTTAAATGAAATATAACATTTAATAAACGATATTTATCATAATTATAACGTAAACGATATGATGTTGATTCAAAGAAATTTTCATTTGGAACTTGAAAATGTTTTGAAATAAATAATTGAAATTGTTTATTATGTGAATAGGATGGAGGAAGAAAATATAAATCATTTGGTAATGCACCAAGAACTATTAATGCTTCGACTTGTGCACTTATATCACCTAATTCATGTTGAATATTTAATATTGTATAATCTTTCATTGGTTTCATTTTAGAATATGATTTTACTATGGATGATAGTAATGGAACATTGGATAAACGAATACATTTTTGTGGAACACGTTTTTCAAATGGAATATGTCCAGAACTATGAAAAAGTTTTACTAGTTTACTGGTCAAATATAATCGAATATTAATTGATCGCATATCTACGTGTTTTATCTGATTTTTTCTCACATTCCGAAATATTTAACGATTAAAAACGCACTTATGCTTCGATATTCTCGAATAAAATATTATGAGAATAATGCCAATACACTCGATTTATCCTTCACATTGTTTTAGAACCATCGTAATAAATAAAAACAAAAGAAATATATATACAGCTGATATTATTCCCATTCACTAATATTATTGTATGAAAAAGGAGTGTCTACTATATTCTCATCACAGAGTTATTAAAAACCGACAAGAGTAATGTCGAATATAGGATTAGGTTGGATCTGTTTATTGCTTGCTATTTTTTTTCCTGTAGTCAATGGCAATATGGCTAGAGGTGTTAATGGTGGTAATGATTGTTTAATTTGTACACTTGTGTTAGGTGTCGTCGAGAATTTATCGATTGTTTATAACGAAAGTATTGTTGAATCACTGGAACGAACTTGTAATTATTTACCACCTCAATTCAAAATCTATTGCAAAGAAGCCGTAGAATTTCTGGGTAACTTTTCTGTTTTGACTAATCAAAGAAAAAGAATATGATCTTGTAGGTCCGATCATTATCGACGGTTTTGAGAAAAAAGAAACGCCCGATGTTATTTGTCATGGATTAAAAATTTGTACTGATGCTGCTGGACATGAATGTCGTTTATTTCCACCGAGATCGTCGTCACGTATTTCTCTGGCTCAAAGTGGTTCTAATCTTCGTGATCGTCATCCTGAACTTCGTTCTCTATTGACTTCTAC